AGGTGTATGTTGCAGCCATTCCATACCAGAGAGGACATATAGAGGGTTCATCTATGTTCTCGCACCAGTTAACATGCTGGTTCCTACAAGGACTGCAAAACCTACACCCTCCAATCTGATTGATTGTCCCGACGTGGAGTCAGTCAGTGTTCTGCAGGTATTAACAAAACCTCCATTTGAGTCTTTAGCCTCCGCTAATTTACAACTGCTATCTTGGAAGACAGCATTCCTAGTGGTGCAAACTCCACAAGAAGAGCTAGTGAGCTCTGCAGCCTTTGGGTTGACCCCCCCACACTCCAATTTCCATAAGTTAAAGGTGGTCCTCCCCACAGATCCTACATTCCTTCTAAAGGTAGTGACAGCATTCCCTCTTAACCAAGATATTATCCTCCCGGCATACTTTCCAGCACCATCAACACCGATCAAGCAATCATTGTATAGCCTTGATGTATGCAGGTTCCTCACGTTCTACCACTCCCGAACCAAATGGTTTTGGAAAACCAAGCGGCTTTTATTAAATACTCTGAACATGGCAAAGGAACACCAATAGGACCTCAATGCCTTTCAAAACGGATTGTAGGAACTATACAGCTCTCCTACCAACTTGCCAAACTGGACTTGCCTATTACTCCAAAGGGACATTCCAGCAGAGCTGTGGCTACTTCATCTACCTTATGTGCAGGCATACCTGTACAGGACTTATGCAAAGCTGCTACATGGTCTACTCCGTGCATGTTTATCAAGCACTATCACCTCAATGTGAAGGCTAGACTAGACTGCTCCTTCAGTTGTGCTATCCTCTCTACTGTACCTTCAACAATGACACTGCCCCGCCTCCAGGTCAATAAGCTTGCTAATCACCCATATGTGTGATGCAGAGACCATGATGAAGAAAGGCAAGTTGCTTACCTGTAACTGTCATTCTCTGGGTAATCACCTGTGCATTCACACAACCCACCTGCTGGCCCCACATCGGTGTCAGTGACTGGGTTCATACAATATGATGTGAATTTCTCTTAAAGTTGCACTTTCCTGCTGGTACCAGCTGGTGTGAATGGGCAGCCTTCAGCTGGACTGGTGAGAGGGCGGGGACTCCGCCCATTTACATGAGGGGGTGGGGGAGCGGAGTTCCTGCCAAAAACCATTACTAGCTGAGAGGATCTTCCTGAAGGAGACACTGCGCAGGCACAGCACCCATATGTGTGAATGCTCAGATGACCACTTGAAGAACGACAGTTACAGGAAAGCAACCTGCCTTTCTTGATGCCTGCCTTCAGAAGGACAATTTATTCCAAGAATGGTTAGCATATATAAAATATAGCATCTATAAAAATGGCGCATATATATATATAGAGAGAGAGAGAGAGCAACTGTCAAGACAGAGAGAAAGTGTCATAGAAAGAGCAAGTGTCAAAGTATTGTTCAGTAATTAACTGGGTTAAAAACTAACCTTAACCCAGTAGTTGATTATTTTTTCTTCATTTTATGTGTTCTTTTATTTATTAGGACCTTTCCTATGATGACCTCTTTTAAATGACATCTTCAGCACCTTGGTATACAGGACATCCACAAAGAGGTTTCCCATGCACTTAATTCAATGAGTGTGTATTTATCAACCGCAGACATCAGAAGCTAAGGTGTGCTGACTGAAGAATAGATGGCCAGTAATTCATGTTTTTAGACCAAAGGAGCAGAACTTCTTTCATCCTGAAATGCATATTCCATTTCAGATAAGTTTTGGGGGCCTGCATTCCAATACAGAGTGGTGACAAAGGCAAAAGGGATGGGCAGAAATACCAAAAATGCCATAATGTTTTAGTGTACACTTCTAACTTCCAGTAACTAAGCCATAGGATCTCAAACTTTCAGAACAGGGTGGGAGGATTACAAAAGCTGGGATAAAAACAGACAACTGGGTCTCCAGGAAGGCTGCATTTCACACTGTGGTCTAGGCCATGAAGCTCAATATGCAGTGGTTGCCAAATTCATATGCAGTGGTTGCTGAATTTGACACAGAATTGGATCAGCAATTATGAACATTATCAGCCCACTAAACAAACTTCTAAATTGGACCATCATCTTGGAACATGTATGCTTCCTTTCTGAAACGTACATGCATTCTTACAGCTGGAAAGTCCATTGTGAAGCAAGGTAGCATCAACAGTGGATGGTTGTGCATTGCTGGTCCTGTGATCTGCCAGACTGATGGCATATTTTTCTCCTATCTCTTATCAACTGAATGCAAAGTGGAACTTTTAGCATGGATTACCAACAATGCATTTTAGGAATGCTGGAAAAATGTGCAAATCACTTTCATCCTTGCCTCAGAGGAATAGAGACAAGAGTTTCCTTCCAAATATCCTTCCAGTCTTATTTTAAAGTAATTAAGCTCTTTGTGGCCAATAACATGCGAAATTTGACCAATACCCTATGCTGTAGTGTAGGGTTCTGTGAGCCTGGTGGATGCATGGGCACATTTGGCATTTAGAAAAAGTACTCTAGGCATCACCATAAATTAGCTGCTGGCATAAGATAGAGGGTCAATCACAAAAACATTTTGATTCTCCCCACCACATCTGTGCACATGTGCATGTGTGTGCATCCCATGTGTGTGCTACTCCCTCTGAGTAGCACATGAGGGATTTACTGAGGTTTCTATCTACCTCTCTCCTTGTATTTATCGGCCCATTTGGGAGGGAAGTTCATAGTTAAGCACAGGCAGAGCCAGAGACAAGCACGTTCACCAAAAACACAAAAAATTCTTGTAGCATCAGATTGACTGGGAATGAAAATCATATACATGTTTGCCTCCTGAGCTACCCCTCCAGAATTAGTACAACTGTTTTGCACAACTCAGTTCCTCCTCATGGAAGCAGGGGTTTTTCCCCCCTAGAATTACTCATTTCCTTCTATAGGCTTCTTTTTTTCTACTTAAAGCTGACTTATGGAGTTGCCTATCATGGGGAGATGGAACTTGTGACTGACACGTAAAATTGGATGGTCATCAGGCCTGGCCATCTAGGGGAAAAATAAGTGGAAGTTCGCATGCGTTTTGACACTCAGAAGATTATAAATAGTCATTGATGCTCCCTGCCCATTTTAGAGGAACATCTCTGATGTGCACTCTTGCAACACACACCAGCATTTGGTGGGAACAGCGTCTTGTAGCTGAACTCAAGGGAGGATCACCAACTCATTTCATTTGTGTTACTACATTAGATTAGTTAAAGGTAAGTAGTTGAGCTGGCAGGAATGGATTACCTGAGATCCATCTAATGGAGGGCTTACTGGAGTGATAAGAAGTCATGGACTCTGAAACTGGACTGGATGAGTAGCATGCTTTGTTATTTCTTTGTGGGAAACATTTGCTCATTTGCTGCGCAAGAGCCAGATATCTTTCTTCTGCATTGCATTTGAATCTGAGAAATATTTTATTTTCCATCGCTCAGACCGTTCCATTTTGCCACTGGAAAGATGCCACTCCCATCCATGAATGCCAGTATCTTGAAAAACTATACTTGAGGACTGGGGTACCTTCTGGAACAGAATAGGATATGGCACAGAGGGCTGTAGTATTGGAATGGGAGAGGGGGACTCTCAAAAATTGCAACCCTACTTTACACAAGGGAAAGCATTTTCTACAAAAGCAAAATTGTTATTGAGTACAACCCAATGAATCTACTCTGCTGTCAGTATAGTCAGGTGCGTATTGGTCAATAAGGATGCAACCCTTTGAATGTTTAGGTGGGAAGAAATTGTACACCTCCCAACATGATGAAAGTTGTAGAATCTTTTTGCTGTCTAAACATGCATAGAATTGCAACTTTAAGCAAGCAACTAAGAGCTTTCTATTTCAGCAAATGATTTGTATGGGTTGCTTGCTAATCACCCATAAGTGTGGGAGCCAGTCTTTCCCAGCCTGGTTTACTCAAGATGTATGGTGCTACAGAGCTCATTATATCAGTCTGGCATGGTCACTGGTTGTGCTTGCTGGAGATGAGGAGGTGAAGGGGGTTGTAGCCCAACTCATGGGAGAGCACTGGTTGTGGCAGGCTGGCATAAGGAGGTATAAATCCTTTCTCCTTCAGCACCAGCACTCCAATCAGTATTGGAGTCCTCCCCTATGTCCATATATGCCCGCCCGCCCCTTGAGATCAGCGGGAGAGGCCCTTCTCCGGGAACACTCCGTGAAGGATATTAGGAGGGTGAGTACCCGGAGGAGGGCTTTCTCTGTGGTGGCGCCCAATCTATGGAATGCGCTCCCCAGAGAGGTCCACCTGGCGCTGTCGTTATTTGTTTTTCGGCGCCAGGCGAAGACCTTTTTATTTAAATATCATTTTAATTGTTAATAGTATTTATTCATTTATTCTTTGGCCAGGGCGACTTAATTTAATTTATACTGTTAATTATATTATTTATTGAAGTCTATTTATGGATGTGAGTCGCCCTGAGGCTTCGGCGAATGGGGCGGCATAGAAGTCTCCTAAATAAATAAATAACTCACTGCTTTAAAAACAGAACATTTAAGATATCCTATCATTCATCACCCACTGATGCAATGTGGAGACCTGGAGACTGGGGGAAGGAAAGTGTAGAAACTACAATGCAAAGCAACTGCTTCACCTTAAGGCCAGATGGAAACATCTGCAGACAATTATTCAGAAAATGTATCTAAAGTGCCTTTTTCCAGCCAGGAACTCGCTAGGTAGCCTTCCCCAGCCTTGTGCCTTCTAGACACATTTGGACTGCAACAGCCAGAATTCCCAGTCAATGGGCCTGCTGGATGTCCTGGGAGTTCTGATCCAAATGATCCTGAAAGCCACCAGGTTGCGGAAGGCTACTCTAGATGATTTGGAGCCCAGCCAGCATGGCCATTGAGCAGGGATGATGTCACATGATGTTGCATTCTAAGTTTCTGGAGGGAGCTAGTTTGGGGAAGGTAGGACTATGCCTACTGCTGATGTTAGACATGGCCCACCTGGAACAAATCAGTGTTTATCTTCTGAATTTAAACAGGCTGTCCATTGAACCAGACACAAGTCCCGTTCTTCTACTCCTCTTTTTCTTCACCTTTGCAGGTCTCTGTGCTGGCAATGTGTGTGGGGATCTGTGCCCGGGTCTTGGGTCCATGCCTCTTTATCTTGGGCCTGCTTTCCATCCTTGCCAACATTCTCCTACTCTTTCCCAGCTGGGAATGGCGCTACCTCCACATGAAACAAATCACTCAGAAGGCAATGCAAATGCCAGGAATATGGGGTGGAGGTCTCTTCGTAAGTGGATTTTTCTCCAACATATCCTTGTCAAACATCATAGTAGGAAACAGTAAATGTCTAGGTCTTTTTTGTCCGGTGCTTTTAAACTAAACAATGTTTTGGAATGGGCCCCACAGGCCAAGAAAATATAATTGCTGCTACAGGAAATCACAGAGTTGGGAAATTAATCTAGACCAACCCTCTGCAGTTGTAGGCAATCCATTGCTACAGTATCCTTGCTAGATGACCAGCCATCCTTTGCTTAAAAAATTCTAACAAGGAACAGTCCACCACCTACCAAGGTAATCTCTTCTACTGTTGAAAGGCTTGTAATAAAATTTTGATTGCATTTTTAAAATTATTTTGTGTACTGCCCAATAGCCTTAGTTCTCTGGACCATTAGATTTCTCCTTTTGTTGGCTTGGATTATTCATAAGGCTATAGGATTTCAAAATTCCCATTTAAATTGTCATTTAAATAAGGGCAAGCATCGCAACTTATGTCTGTTTGGCAGATTGGAATGTATCTGGTGGAACCTGTTTCCCAAAGTTAAAACGGCCATCGCTGGAGTGATCAGGCTGCAGCATTGTGTACTGGTGTGTGGTGTCTTGCTGTATGCATTTGTGTGTGGCATGCTGATATTTTGAGTTGTGTTGCTTTTATTGTAATACCGTCCCGAGATGCTAATAGTTGGATGGTATAGAAAACCTTTAAATAAATAAATAAGCAAGCCTCTTGATGCATGTGATTGCGTGTGTTGGCTTGTGATGTGCTGCTGTGTGTTATTGAATATGTTTGTATACAGTATCTTGTTCATCTGGTTGCTTCTGATGTGTTTCTGTGCGTGTCTGTGTATGTCATGATCTTGCCTGTGTTTCTCTGTGGCATTTTCTATGTGTTGCTTGCATATAATATGAGGTATGTGTTGTGGGTGCTTTGTGTGTGCTAGCTATGGTGCACTGCACAAAACAATTTCTTTTTAATTATTTCTGTCTTACAGGTCTTTCCTGCTGCAGTTCAGATCACATGTATTGGCTGGCAATGTGGTTGTTACAACACCTCAGGAACTTGCCGAAAGGTGAGGTGGTGGGTGGTTCATTCTATTGATGGCTTTCGCTTTAATAGCAAGGTTGAGCAGCTAGATAGTTGCTAGTTTCCATTTTATTGAGCATTTCCACAGCAAACCAAAGTGCTACACGGTTGGTGGAGAGCCCAGGAAAGTAGCTACATACCAAGGCAAAGCAAGCTTTGGCCTGAGCATCTTGGAAAGGAATCATCCTAAGAATAATGAATGGGTCTTAGTTACTCCATGATTTGTGACAGAATCTTAAAACGCAGTACTAGCAGTTTTCTTTTGTGGCACTGATGTGCAATGAATCAATGCAATAAATGTATTCTATGGTAGATTATCACTAGTCATACACACATGCACATACGTGCATGTGTGCACAAACACGCACACCCTGGCCCTTCCTCCAAGAAGTGGAAGGCAATATGCATGGATTTTCCCCCCATTCCATCATTATAATCTGTGAGGTAGGTTAGGCTGAGAGAGAATTTGAGGTCAGCCAGTGAGCTTCATGGGACTCAGACTTAGGTCTGAAATAAAGATGCTGTACACCCAGTAGCTACATTTGTCTTTCTTTTTACTTTAGAGTGAGACTTTAGGCCTACATGATCTACTTTGTCTTTTAACCAGAGCTCAACCAGAACCAGATTTAAAATTCATACTTCCATAAAGAAAATGAGCCTAGGAATTTTGTTTTAAAAATTGCCACATAAAAATCAATTCCTCATTCCCCCACCACCTGAATTTGTCTTAATTTCATCAATATAATTTGGGGGAAGAGCCAGTGTGGCATGTTGGTTAAAGTGCTGAACTGGGAACTTGAGAGATCTGAATCCTAGTTCACACACAGTCATGAAACTCAGTCTAATCTACCTCATAGGGTTGCTGTTATGAGAATAGGATGTTATAAGCCACCTTGAGTTGAAAAGTTGAGGCATTAACGTGATAATGGTAATGATCACGATCATCACTGCCTTTGATTCCTTGCAAAAGGAAAAGGGCAGAGGACAAGTGCAATGTAATGTAATACTTTTGCTATTATCACTGTTGTTAGTCACCTTGAGGGCCACTTTTGTGGTGGAAAGGCAAATATAAATTGAATAAATAAATAGGTGAATACAATTTAGGAGTCATAAATCCTTTGTAAACTACTGGAAATCACCCAGAGATGTTTTGTGCTAACCCCTGCTCAAATCCAAACTTGCAGGGGTTTATTTTTTAATTCAGGATTTAGTCCAGCTCAAATCCAAACTTGCAGGGTCTATTTTTTAGTCCAGGATTCCTGGTCAGTGGCAAAAAACAAACAAACAAACTGTGCTGGAAGTATAGAAGTGGAAAGGGCTGCCCTGGTTGCTGACACTATAGTGCATTTAGAACTTATCTTCAAATCCTTAAATAGTGCAGTTGAAGAGCTCTTACATACCTGAAATTAATTCTCTGCCTCTTTTGCACACAGATGTTTGTCTCCATTTTATTATCAGGACTGGCCTTATTGGGATCAGCTGCTTGCTTTATATTATCTGGGGTAGGCTTGACAGAGGGACCTCTCTGTCTCTATAATTCCACCCACAATAACATGAAGATACAGCAGTGGGATTATCCATTCCTTGCTCTTGACAGTGAGCACATGAACAGCAGGTAAGGAGACTTGAGCTTCAGGGACCAATTTATGACAGAGCCAGGCTAATTTGCATTGATCCTCTAAGAGCTGGAACTCTTTGCTTAACTAATGAAAACATGAGAAATGCCTTCCAGTTAATGTAAATGGCAGTCAGAGTTCAGAGTCATGGAAGTGAAAGTGAGCTGCAAATGGTAAATAGTAATAGCTACTTCATATAGTGGTGTCTAAAGACAGAGCAATTAGAAAACATGTTAACGGTTTTCAAATTAGTTCCCCTAGCCTGGTCTATTTGACCCACTCCTTAGGCATATGAAAACATTGCAGCTGGGATGGGAGCCTTGGGAGCCACCTCAAGTGACAATAGTGCAAGGAGAGGGAGGCTGGGAGGAAAAAAATGAAGGAACTTTTGTGTGGCTCATGGGTCAACCTCTTGTAGAAGTCCACATGGAAGAAGATTGGTGGAACTGGGGTATCGATATAGGAAGCTGCCTTATGCAGAACCTGGCCCTGGGGCTATTTAGCCCAATTTCATTGACTGGCAACCATCCTCCAGGGTTTCAGCAGGAATCTTTCCTTGTCCTACTCAGAGATGTCTGGAATTGAAACTGCTTCCTTCTGCATGCAAAACAAGTGCTTCACCACTAAGCTACAGTCCCTTAGCACAAGGAATCATAAGATACAGATGTTTTTTATTCCAGATAACAACAATATACTTGGTGGGTTTGAAATAATTCCATTTTAACAAAGCATAATAAGAATATATGTATTAACCATTGTTGGTGTTGTTACACCTTGTTAAGATTGTACTATTTCAAGACCACTCAATATATAATGGCATCTGGATAACTTTCATTTTAAGACAATGTAACCAGGAAAGGCCAGATTTTATATTATACTCTTTCACCTCAAAGCTTGAACTCAATTTGGGGAAACTGCATTCCAGTGGTAGGTGAGGCTGAAGGCCAAAGGAGTGGGGGCAAAGTACTAGAAACCCCAGAATATTCTGGCTAAAGCCCTTACTGCTAGTGACACAACTTTAGGAGAAGCAGTTCAGCCTTTTAGAATGGAGAAGAAGCTATGCTACAGCCAGGAAACCCATCAAATGAGAGGCATTCAAGGGTGTGGGGAGTGGGATCCATCTGGCGATGTGGGAAGGGGTTGTACATATATGTGGAATTCTAGAGGACTGGACTGGGACCCTGGGCAGTCTATATACTCAATAACCTGGTTGATCTAGCAACCTTATCTAATACTTAAAGAAAACAAAAAAAAATCCTTACTAAAATAAGTTCCATGTAGTCTTCTGTTCTGATAACCTCCTCCATGCAACCATCTTATTCAAAATTTGTTTCTTTAAGGACTTCTCAGAATTACTTGTATGAGCCTTCCCTTTGGAACTCAGTTTGTATCGAGCCATCGAATATTGTCAGCTGGAATGTCTATTTCTTTTCTGCACTTCTAATCATCAGCATGGTTGAGATGGTCCTGGCTGCTCTCCAGATCATCAGTGCCTTTTTTGGATGTATCTGTGGCTTATGTGAAAAGAAGTAGGTAGCATGGTTTCAGAAGCATTTCCTAAATTTTTCCTGTTATTGCCCATACTCTGGTCTTTCAGATGAATGCCCCCTTTTCTCCAGCCTCACATTAACAAGGGAAGATTGAAGCAGGTAGTGGTTGTGTCAGTCTGGATACTTATTAAGAATAACCTAAAGATTGTGATTTGAGGGTAGGGGAAGAACAGAAGCACTGAAGCTCTGTTGCATGATGATTGGTCAGGAAAGTTTCCATATTAGCCACTTCACAGAATCACAGAATAGAACAGTCAGAAGGGGTCAAGAAGGCCATTGAGTCTAACCCCCTGCTAGTGCAGGATGCCAGTTACACCATCCCAATCAGATAATTGTCCAATTGCTTCTTGAAAGATTCATTAAGACTGGAATAAAAATCTTGCCTGCAGAATCACAAAGGATCAGGCTCTCGCTGGTTCATGCTGCAGTGGTTGTTAGTCTAATTTGCACTTTAGTTTAGAATTCTAAAAAGAGGTAGTTGAGCAGGATTGTAATGAAGGTTCAGCAACAGGTAAAAACCAACAACTTTGGGATTCATGAAAAGAAGCTGTTTGTTTGTTCATTCAATGTGTGTTTGTGGTTGATATAGGGAGTAGGCAGAGTCAACAGTATAGGAAGTTGTTCTAACTCCATCTGCTTCTTTGAAAAATAATGACATTTTAGCTTCCCCTGAATAAAAATTGAAAAAATATTAATTTATTTAGTATTACATTTATATCTTGCCTTTCATCATCTTGCAAGGAACTCTTATGTGAGCCTCCTGTTCTTTATTTTGTATCCTCACAACAACCCAGTGAGGACAGTTTAGCTGAGAATCTGTGACTGGCCCAAAGTTACTCAGTGAACTTCATAGCCAAGAGTGTATTTAAACTTTGATCTCCCAAGTCCTAGTCCAACACTAACCACTGCGGGCTTGCTTATATCTTTAATTGGACCAATTTAAGTTGGTTTTGGAGTGCATATACCTTGAAACTTTTGTAAGCCGCCCTGAGGCTTTTTGCAAATGGGGTGGCATAGAAATTGTTTAAATAAATAAATAAATAAATAAATAAAACTCCATAGATGTCTTAGTCAATCTCTGTTGAAGAGTTTTGTGAAACAAAAGCTCCAGATAAGGGGCTGCAAGAGTTAGTAGTCTGAAGGCACTGTGCAGCTCCTCTATCTTTTTCCCCATAATGGATGTTCTGCTGCAAGACAAAAGACAAAGTGTTAGAAAAACACAGAAGGGCTCTGTGTGGAAGAAGAGGATGCATAGACACAGCCCTTCCCCACAGAATTATATGAATAAAGCAGGGGTATGGTATGATAAAAGTCTTGTTTGGAAGTACTCTCAGACCCCAACTTTAAGCAGTCCCCTTGACTTATTTTCTATGTATCTTGTTTTCTGAGCCCAATATGACACGCCTCTTAACAAATTCTTTGTATGTGAGGCTGTAAAGATCTCTGCTAATCTGTCCTTGCAATTGTTGGCTTCTCTCATTACAGGTTCAGTGTGTAGCAGCTTCTTGTACTGTCTGTGAAGAAAAGAGCTGTCGCTTGCCAGATGGTGATAACAGCCATCAGCCACCGTTCAGTGGAAGGTATAGATCCTTGTCTTCCATGGAAATCTTTACCAGCCACACTCAGGAAATATGGAATCACAGACACTACGAGAGTTCTCATTCTGCCATGGAGTTAAGAACCTGACAAGGTGATGGAACACAGTGCTTTTAGAATGAGTAATGTTATAGTGCTAGTCTGTTTATAATTTCTTAGTACCTGCTCACCCTAAATTTTATTATTTCTCAATCCATGATTTTTAAACAAATGCTGCATGACATCAAGGCAGAAAGCACTTTTGGTTTTCTGGGAAAAGAAGTAGTATGTACAGGTGGCATGGGTGGAAAACATCATCTTCAGGTCCAAGTTGTATCAGGTCCCCTGACTTCAGGGCTTCACCTCACCCACAAGCCTCTCCAGTTAGAAGGTCTAATCTTGTAGGTAATCGCTTTCTGAGTTCCGGACAGTTGGAAAGAAGCACCATTTAGTCCAATAGGCTAAGAAGTTGCATCCTTTAGAGCCTGCCCAATGCCTGAGGCATGTAAGGCTTTCTCAGGCAAAAAGTGGTGACTACCCAGATACGAGGCAATGCAATATGAAGGACTTATCCCTGATTTGTTTTGCTCACATGAAAGACTGCTCGGCTCCACAATAGGAGCATGCCTTCCTTAACTCTCTTCTCCACTCAGGGAAGAATCAGAGAGGCAGGAATAGTAGAAACATTTGAGGCAGACTTGTCAATTTTGGTAGTATTGCTGTTCCATTATTGTGTTTACTGTTGCTTCATGGTTTTACTTTTAGTACATCACCCTGGGCAGGCTCTCCCTAAGAGATGCTTATAACTCTTAAAATTAATAAAGAAATGATGTGAATAACGTTATCTTCTCATTCTGTTTGACAGGGCCAAACAGAACCGAATATATTTTCTAGGACTTCCATCCATCCATCCGTGAAGCTTTGTAGCTTCATTGGCTATAGAGCCATTATATTTTCAACAGAGTGAAAATGTGTCTTCACTCATACATCTGCACTGCATCCACACTCAATGCTTTTGTAGTCAGCTGCTATCAATGTAAATATCTAAATTGTGCCAGGCTTCAATGCCTGTGAAGAAATGGGAGACTCAGCAGCTGATTATCTCCATTTCTCCTCCAGTCCTTTAGAGTACCCTTCCCCCCACACCCACCCATCCTGTATGGGACACTTGGAAGACTTCCTTGCTATCACAGTCTGGAACGGTGATAGAGAAAAACAGAGATGAAAATAGACAAAAGGATCTGCAACTACTGAAATCCTTGTTTCATTAGAACACTTAAAAGTATAGTGTGCATCTCTGAATTCTGTTTTGACGGCCCTACCTCAACTATATCTCATTTGTTTAAGATGAGCAAAAAGGTGGAGATTGTTTGTTGAATATACAGTGCAACAGTACTGACAGTTCATTTCCTGCCAACTGCAATAGTTTTGATGCGGGGTTCACTGTGTTTTCAGATTAGTGCTTTCTACCTCCTTTTTCAACAGCAGTTTCAGGGAATTCAGGATGACCTTATTAGAAAATCATTTTGAGTTCTGTGACCTCTATTTCTTCCTCCATGTCTTCTTCCCCAAGTATATCAGAAGGTGTTTACATATCCACATTATGCTCAGACTTTGTTTTTTTGTTGATTGCCATAGGATAGTGGAACTTATGGATGAAAACTTCTAAAAATTTGTATGCCAAAATAAAATAAAAATATTTATTTTTCTAAACTTGTGCTTAGAAACAATTTCAGCCATTGTTATTTATAATGTGTTCTGGGTCTATCAGAACCATTTTCTCCATTGTTGTTTTCCCGTACTGCTGTAGCTCACTCATTCTTATTCTGGAGAAGGCAGGACAGTATGACTTGGTCCTATCCAACTCACAGTGAGCCAAAACTTATCAAGCAGCTAGCCAGCAAGTGCTGCAAACAGCTACTCCAATAGCACTTGGGGATGGCTGTCTGAGGCTTCCTGCACTGCCTGCCATGGTGGTGGTGGTCCTTTTGGGCCCACCACCATAGCATGTGGTGACAATCATGAGTCAGCAGAGCTGATCCCAGCTCCCTACTGGTGCTGCCCTGAGCACTTTTGGCTTGTGACAGCCCTGCAGTTCCGAGATCTCTCTAGCCAGCTTGACAACCAGCAGGAATGATTGTGGCTGCTCTTCCTTGTACCACTGCAAATCCTTTTACATTGCAGTAGTGGCACAGGGTGGGATATCCTCCCAGCTTGATCATTGATCCTGTCCCTCCATTGCACTGCTATTAGCCCTTTCTAGCTCCCTGCAGAGATGGTGGTGAGGAAATGTGGGTGCTCCCATGGGTCTTCTGCTTTATTAATGGATGGGGTAGGTGGGCAGGCAAGGACCTGTGATGTGCCTCATCATCTGTCAGGCACTGCATGAGCTCTCAGGCAGACAACCCAGCTTGTTCCACAGCGTGCATTGTGGTGTCATGTGAACCCATCCTATGACACTAATTGGTAGGAGAACATTAGAGACATAGCTTGATCATCCTTTTTGTACAGGCAGAACTGAAGAATGCCCATTTGAAGCAATTCACCTTCAATTCATTTGAAGTAATTTGTTTCAATCAGTCACCAAACCAAAATGTGTCTGTTGGTGGGAAAGGAGCTTCTGGAAGCTACAAAAAGCAACTACAAAGTTGCCCCCATCCACACCCAGGAAAAATGCCAAAAGAACAGAATCGGATGTGTTGTGTATCATGGTCTCTTTTATTCCAGCCTAGAAGCAAAAATTGAGGAGAAGAAGAATGTGCTCAGTGTTTAAAAACTTTAAAAAGGAAAATATTAAAACAGTTAACCATAATAGAAATGTGGTTATATTTTTATGAGGTCACAGGCCACTTTATAAGCTGTACATGAATTAGTGATATAACAAATGGTTGGGAATTTCAATCATAAAAGTTGACAAACCTAAGAAATATTTGTCCTGGTTTGACAGTGGAAGCTGGTTCCATTTTTTCCAGTGAGGACTTAAGGAAATCTAAAAGCAGGCACTAGTTTTAATTATGGTGGGATAGAGAGTTGGTAGCCCTAGAGCCATATGTGCTCTCTGAACTAATCTTAAAGTCCTGAACTAATCTTAAAGAGCTCTGGCAGGAGCCATCTGCCTTCAGCCCCAGCTGCTGCTGGAATGAGCCACCCAACACATTCCTCTAAAGGGATGCAGCTCCCTGTATACAATGCAGAAGGCAATGCTTTTTGCCTGGAACCCTGGAAAATAAAAATGAAGAAGCACCACAGACAGTTGGGATAGGAAATATGGGGTCTGGCATTTTAATAGCTGTTTTCCCATCCTCAGTTTAACAGGGATTTTCTACTAGGCATAATGACTTGGCTTTGGTCAGCAGGTGGCAGCCCCAAGCAAGCAATCTCGAACGCTAGGGACGAAAGATGCTCTTCTCTCACCAATGGAGCCAGTGTTAATATATCTTTGTATTTAACATGCAACTGCATCCCCTAGCAGGAGGGAGAATGTTAATTAACATTATTTTAGGCAGGCATGAAGGAGAAGTTTAACTTTTCCATCCCGTTGCAGAATTCCTCTGATGATGCCACTTGGGCAGCCTTCCCCGACCTTGTGCCTTCCAGACACATTTTGACTGCAATACCCAGAATTCCAGTCAATGATCCTGCTGGATGGGAGTTCTGGAAGTTGCACTCTGAAGGCCACTAGGTTGGGGAAGACTGCACTAGGGGATTTCTACCCAAAGGAACTACCAGGAAATGATCTAATAATCAGGTCACTTTCTTTACATTGTGTGGTTCAGTCTTTAAATCGGTGCAGCAGTGACAGCATAGGAGCTTGAGTTTGGATGGATTCTTGCTTAAAAAATTTGATCTTTGTGAATTCCAGGGCAAACATATCTAACCTCCTAATCCATGCATACAAGAGAATGTAATTGTCCTTCAAAATTTTCCAAATTTTGTGATGCAATTCTTGGCTCAAAAACATCCCAAAATGCATTTCAAAAATGGTGTGCGTGCGTCTTCCACACAGTGGCTGAGTAAGCTATGCAAGTGCATGAAGAAAAATTAATGAAGCTGTTGCATGCATAGAACACCCTGAGTGTTAAAATTTGATGACTGAGGTTGTTATATAACAGTACATATCCTAGGAACTTAGGAAGTTCCCTAATACCAGGTCAGGCAATTTGTCCTGCCAGCCCAGCTTTGTCTGGGGTTGGGGGAGAGACATGAGTTTGGTTTGCAGTTATATGCAAATTTACTTAAATCTGCACCTTCAAAACAATGTGCCAACTGAAAGTCAGGTATGATTTGAGATTTACACTTCTCCAAATTTTGAAAACATGCATTACAAGAAATGTGCATCTTATTAAAATCACATTAAAACACATTATATTAGGGAAATGGCAAAACTGCATATTCAATAAAAATGTTTACACAATGTGTTAGGAGAAATGTACAAAATATGTGCACATATTCATCTGAACCTTAAAAAAATTCTCAATGTTCAGGATGAACTGAACACAAGATTAAAAGACTAAGAAACTATAAGTGATCAAAATGGATAGAGTCATCCATTTGCCTAATCTTTTCCTTGTAGTAAGTTTCTGTGATCTCAAGCAGAAGTAATTACTATCAACTGCTACCTAATCCTAATTGCAGGTGCTCAAGGCTGAACCAGGGACCTTCTGCCTGCTAAGCATTTGTCACCTGCTCCTGTATATCCTTCAGGTCCAGCAACTGTTAATAATGTGATGCTATTTTAACTTTTGTATGGTTTTCTCATGTAAACTACTCAGGATACCAAATGTGTCATAAAAACTGTGTCATGTCTCTCCTGCATTTAATGACAAAAACTTCCTGCACCCTGGTTCTGAGAATAAGGTGCAAGGGAAATCTCCCCCCACCGTCAGTTGGATGTTTATTGTAAGGCTTGTAGCAATGCTGGAAGGGAGGGGATGTTCATTGGAGTTTTAGCTGGGAAAGGAGGAAAAAAATAAAAATACTGTTACTTGTCCCTCCCAACATGTGGCATGGTGAGTCACTATGAATAATGCCAGTTCCAGATGCTTGAGAGTCCTTGGGCAAGGCACACTCTTTAGCAAGTCTATATTTTCACCAGCTTATTACTGATTGCTATTGCTGTTTCTCATCGACCATGGAATCCTTCTGGATAGGCTAGCAGGATTGGGGGTCGGAGGCACTGCTTTGCAGTGGTTCCGCTCCTATCTCAACGGCCGATTCCAGAAGGTGGTGCTGGGGGACTATGGCTCTGCGCCATGGCAGCTATGCCATGGAGTACCACAGGGGTCCATTTTGTCCCCTTTGCTGTTTAACATCTACATGAAACCGCTGGGAGAGGTCATCAGGAGGTGTGGGCTGCGGAATCATCAGTACGCTGATGATACCCAGCTCTACCTCTCGTTTTCCACCAATCCAGGTGAGGCAGTGGCTGTGCTGAACCGGTGCCTGGCCGAGGTAATGGGCTGGATGAGGGCCAATAAACTGAAGCTTAATCCAGACAAGACGGAGGTCCTGTTGGTTGGCAGATCTGGCTTCGGAGAGGGTGGATTTGACGTGGTCCTGAATGGGGTTGCACTCCCTCTTAGGGACAAGGTCCGCAGCTTAGGAGTGCTCCTCGACCCGGAGCTTTCATTGGAAGCTCAGGTGACAGCGGTGGCGAGGAGCGCTTTCCTTCAGCTTCAGCTGATTAATCAGCTGCGCCCCTACCTGGAGTACGACTGCCTGGCGATGGTGACACACGCGCTGGTGACTTCCCGCCTTGACTTCTGTAACGCGCTTTACGTGGGGCTACCCTTGAAGATGGTCCAGATACTTCAGTTGGTTCAAAATAGAGCTGCCAGGTTGCTGACGGGGACGGGGCGTTATGTTCACATGACTCCAGTCCTCCGTCAGCTTCACTGGCTTCCCATTGAAGTCTGGGCCCAATTCAAGGTGTTGGTAATGACCTATAAAGCCCTAAACGGCTTGGGTCCTGGTTACCTGAAGGAGCGTTTACATCCATATATGCCCAGTCGCCCCCTGAGATCGGCGGGAGAGGCCCTTCTCCAGGAGCCCTCCGTGAGAGAAATTAGGAGGGTGGCTACTCGGAGGAGGGCTTTCTCAGCGGTGGCGCCTAAGTTATGGAATGTGCTCCCCAGAGAGGTCCGCCTGGCGCCGTCGTTATTTGTTTTTCGGCGCCAAGTGAAGACCTTTTTATTTAGACGTCATTTTAATTGTTAACAATATTTGCTTATTTATTTGGCCAGGGTGACTTCTTTTACATTGTTATTTATTTTATATTGTTAATTTTATATTGTTATTTTTGTATTTTATTGTATTTTATTGTGTTGTAAGCCGCCCCGAGGCTTCGGCAAGGGGCGGCATAGAAATGTTTTAATAAATAAATAAATAAATCATTGCTACCACTCACTTGCTGGGACAGCAAAGAGCCAGTGAGTGATAGACTGCTCCATCTTCACATCGCTGTTGTTGTGTGGACCAGAGTGAGAAGCAGGTGAACAAGCAGTTTGCAATGGTGAAGGGGAGGAGCTACTCCAGGGGGCCAGTGGGGTATAGACCCTCAGGAAGTGTCTGATCATGTCTACCCTAGACTTTGGCCCTGCCCATTAAAACCCTCCTCTGTGCCTACTTTATGGATTGGAGCTGTTCTTCCAGCAAAAGAGCCTTCAAGATATATGAGAACAGCATCTGAACCAGAAGAGGATGAGGGCTTAGAAACTGCAGCTGAAATGCCAAGGCCAGAGAATTTAGAGATAAGCCAGATGACAGTTGAGAACCAGTCATTTCAAATACTATGGAAACGTATTTGTTTCCATAGTATAGTACTCACTACACTTAGTGAGCATACCAGTGAAGAGGAGGGCAGAACAAGCATGGTTATCCCAGGTATTGTGTCAGGTAAATAGAGCAGACCAGCAGAGAAGTGGCAGACCTCCATGTGATTGGCCTGTATGCAAGAGGATCCACCTTGAAGTCATGGGTTGCCTATTTCAGTTTGCAAGAGGAGGAATCTTTAGAATCAACTTATTTTTAAGCCATTTTAACAGCAACTGTTCTAATTCCACTTATTTCTTTTGTTATTGACTTCTACAATACTCTTCATTTATTCTTTAAAGCAAGACTGACTAGTCAATATTCCCCCTTGGAAAGAGGGGGGAAAAGAAGGGCCATGACTAAAAAGGCAAGAAAGAAAGAAAGAAAGAAAGAAAGAAAGAAAGAAAGAAAGGCCATGTCATGGTTCTAATCATCTTGTTTAGTGTCATCTCTAGTTAGGCCCTCCATTGTGAACTTTATGTGATAATACAGCTCTTTCCCCTTTTCTTTTTATCATATGATGTTTGCTTCATGCCCTGGGAAGAAGGTGCCAGAGGAATGTTCTGAAGAACTTCATGCAAGGTGAACATGCTGAAGGAGATTTGCTCATAGGGAGACCTCACCCCATTCTCATAGAGGCAGGCAAAGGCAATGGCTGGGATCCCAGTGATTGAGAACTCGGAGTAAGGCAGCTCAATGTAAGCCAGGTCAGAGTAGGCACTAGGGCCTTCATAAATAACCCAGGGCTCAGTCCAGCTGTCTGCATCCCTGGGAAATGTGCTCAGGTAAACCCCTAGGTTGATTCGGGATTGGGAACTTGTTGGATGGGAATACAACACCCATGTTGGGATTTGGAAATAAATGTCTGACTTGGATGTTATTCTGGTTTTATGCCATTCTTGATCAGTTCCTGATGGAACTGAGGAAGTGTGACCAAGAATGTTCACACAGCAGGCATTAGTAGTTCCAGATGATGCAGACCTTTCCTGCAGCTGTTGATGGCAAAGGGATTGGTTGTAGAGAGCCATGGTAGATGGAGCAGGATATATCTGGTGTCTCACCTCTGTTCCAGGCTGTGATAGAAAGCCCAGCCCTTTGACGGACCATGTTTCCCATTGGAAGCTGCTGTGAAAGTTGTGATGCAGATAGTAAAGTGGAGCTGGGAATCCAATGATGCTGCCATGGCAACCATGAGGGGGTTCCACCAGCCGCTGCACCAGCTGTCCTGCATGAAATACTGCTCCATCATCTGTGCTCAGTGCCTGCACCCGGAAGCCCAGGGGGCTCCTGGCATTACAGTAGAGCACATTGCTGCCATCCTCCTCATCCACAGATACCATCTGGCACTCAACTGTTTGCAGGTTTGGAATGGATTCACCAAAGTGCCAGCTTTGTCCATGATCATCACTGAAGAAGGTAAATGCGTGTGGAGTGGTTTTGCAGAGTTTCCCAAAGCACTCTTTGCAGTCAATGTAGTATGCATAGGCTGGCAAGAGCAAACGGCCTGACTTGAGCTGAATGCCATGGCCAGGCCCAAGTGCAAAAGTAGCCCAATCTGTATTAAAAGGAAAATATTTGTGTCAGGGGCAGCTGTGTTAGGACACCTTAATGATTAACAGATTTATCACAGCAAAATGCTTTTGTGGATGGGAGAGTCCATTTTATTGTATGTACATGAAATGTTATCTTCATTCGGTGAGTATTTTATAGATGATGGTGCAGAGCCTCAGGTCTAGAGGCCAAATCCACTCCTCCATGGTTCTCCAGATAACCATGCCCCATATCTCTGGCCCCACTCCTTCCCTGCATCCACTGATCATTTAGTAATGTTTCCCAATTTTTTGTGCAATCTTTTCCCATTCTGAAAGACCGAAATGCAGTGGCACTTCTAAAGCTTAGTTACTGGCAACAAGAGCTTAAAGCTAGAATACACTAATATTTATGGGGGCCTTTTTTGGCCCTTCCAGCCACTGGAAGGTGACCACCGAGACCTTTTCTGAAATAGCTTCTGCACCCTTGTTATATAGAGAGAAAGAGTTGCAAAAAGTGGGGCGAAGTAGTGCAAAATGTATTGCCTATGCAAAATGTATTGCCTATGACAATTTAGTTAAAAGTACACTAAATGAACACACTGAAAAAACACTTAGCTTTGCTAGTTCATGGGACAGAAAACTAATGTCTAAATACGGGGCCAAATGGATAAGTTCTAATGAAGAAATAAATATGCTACAATATAAGATGCTTGAAAACCAGTGTTGTTTTTGTTGTAACAGATGAACATGGCTGCCCATCTGGATGTTGTGTTAGGAATTGTCTTCTCCCATTGTTTTGACTGTACCCCCACCATCTTTTCTCTGTACCTTTGATGGACATGCCAATAACTTGCTGGGTGAGGTCAGTCACATGGCTCCAGCTGAGGCCCTGGTCAGAACTAGAAACGTAGCAGAGGCGGGCAGCATTTTGGCCCGTAATGATCTGAAAAGTTTCAGGGGTCCTGCCCAGCACAGCAATGAAAAATAGGAAAACCATGCCAGTAAGCTCATCGTAGATGGGGCAAGGGTTCATGGATCGATGGTGTGCCAGAGTGGCAGTCTCAAGGGCCCGCATATCTTCCCACTGGCAAAGAAAAACACCAAAACAGCTTAGGAACCTTGCTCATATTCTTCCTTTTTTCCTCAATTGTCTGTTTATAACTTGCTTACACAATCACTTTCTTTGAGACAGGAACCCGGTAACTGGGTACAGGTACCCAGTAATATTTGCTTTTCTGGTCAATAAATGTTATCCCACGCTGCAGTCATTCAAAAAAAGGACAAGAGTCCTATTCAAGATAATCAGGCTTCCTTATCTTGTTGATCACTAGTTATCTATAGGCTATGGAGTTATGCGGAATTATCAGTTCAGAAAGCTTGGGTATGCTTGATCATATACGAACAAGGCCAACCCTAACATTAGGCAGAGCAAGGCAACTGCCGCAGGTGGTCAATACTGGCAGGTGAGGAAAATGGCAATAGCTTCCCATTGCAACCCTGAATCTCCTACATTAGCTTGCCATCCCAGGTGTGATGGAGGATGCTGGCCAGTTGAAGTAAAATTCAACTGCCTGTCTGATTGAATTGTGCCCAACACACCTTGAGGTTACCAGGTAAGAACATGAGAGCCACACTGGATCAGACCAAGGTTCCCTCTAATGTAGCAGTTGTAGAGCGTGAATGCAACAATTCCCACTTATTTTCCCCCAAAACTGGTGTACATAGGGTTACTGCATCTAATATTAGGCAGTAATATATAGCCAGCAGGACTAGTAGTTAGTCCTCCTCATCCTCCAAGAATTTGTCTAATTTCTTTTTTAAAACTATCTAAGCTTGTGGCCATCACTCCATTTTGTGGCAGTGCATTCCATAGTTTAACTAGGTACCATGTAAAGAAGTACTTCCTTTTATCTTTCCTGAATCTCCCACCAACCATCTTCATTGGATGATTCTGGTTTCTAATATTATGAGACAGGAAGAAAGATAGCTCCTTATTCATTTTCTCCACACCGTCCAGAATTTTGTATACCTTTCTTATATCTTTCTTACCCTTTTCCCAGCTAGACAGATCCAGATGTTGCAACCTTTCTTCACAGGGGAGTTGTTCAGGCTCCCTGATAATTTCAGCTACTATTTTTTGGAATTTTTCATCTTTACAATATCATCCAGATGGAGAAACCTATTCTATTGCATACTCTATAAAGTATAATAAACCTGATTGTCAAGTCTAGTCAAAATGGCATGTGGCAAGATCTAAATATGGCAAGTGTAAAGACTGTTCTCTATCACGCCATGTGTGCTGGAGCATTCTTGACAATTGCAATGCATGCCATAAAGGCACTGTATAAGCTGAAGCATAAAGGTATGAGAAGGCAACAGTTATATTGTCTCTACAACTAAAAGAACTGTCAAAGAAAGCATTTTGAATGGCTAGTTAAGCCAGGGAGAATTTCCCTTACTTCTTGACTCTAATAGTCTAGCCCTGTCCTACAGTTTCAGCAAACCTGGCTTAGTTCTTGCTTACCTCCACAAAATTCTTGTAGAAGGTGCCCCTTCTCAGCACCAGGAGGTTGGCATGAGCATCATCAACACTCAGTCGCTCTTCCGCAAAAGCCAACAGCTTGGCAACACAGGGGATGTGGAGGAGAGCTGGCACCCGGTATGTCACTCCACTTGTTTCTCTTTCAAACAGAACAGTCCGGGCTGGGAAATGGCGAGAACCCATGGCAAGTGCAGCAAGAAATGACAGCCCTAAAATATTAAACAGGCTGTTTGGATGTTCTTCACATTGCAGATGGAACTTAGTTTACAGTGTATTGCTGTACATGTCTGCTCAGAAATAGTCCCACTGAGTTCCCAGGTAAGTGGTTGTAGGATTACAGCCTTAATCATTGTCTGTAGGCACTGAAGGTTTCCTGGGAACCCTCAGTGGATGTGTTGTGTTCAAACACACGGAATTAACTGTGAACAATCATCCTGGCTCCCCTGTCTTTCTCTCCTTTTGGTTTAAGACAGCTTTCCCCTAGCTGGTGCCCCTTCTGCATCAGGCCACCTTATTTGCCAAAAGCTGGCCTGAATAAAAGTTTTTCTGCTAGTTCCAGGGAGGGAGCCAACCTAGCGTCCCCTGGGTGAGTGCTTACATGGCTGAAGTGAGAAAGATGAGGGTGCACAATGGCATGGCAAACGGCTGCTCCTGAGCAGTCCACCATAAACTTGTGCTGTGGTAAATGTCACATTGGGAAAGCAGATGGCAGGACTCTCCATGGCACCCACTGGAGATGGCAGAGTGGTAGAGGGAAGTCCTGGAGGTATTTTCCTTCTCCTCCCACTCTGCAGCAGTGTGTGTCACGGTGGGCTGGACCTGCAAGGAAGTTCATGTGGGAGAAGGCAGTTTGGCAAATAGCCTGGGTCTAAGCTGTATAAAGTTTCTATTAATATACGTCAAACAGAGGCTGGAAACTAACATTACCATTTATATTGCTGGTTAGGAGTAGTAGGCTGATTTTATGGTTTTGCTGTGCTAGCCCTTAACTTTCTAATATGGCTGCAAGCTAATACTTCCTTTCCAACAAAGTCATAAACATCAGAATTATGAAGAAACAGAACTTAATTTACTGGCAGCCGTTCCCATAGCTTTCCTGGAAACTCCATTATTCCTGGCAATGCTCAACTTCGCATGAATCATGCAGGAGAAGTACCTGTTAATGCGCAGTGCTGGGTGGTACAATGGGATGATGCCACAGATTCAGTTCAATGCCTCCTCCTCCTACTGGGGCATAATGGGCAATAAACCAGCATGGCCTCCCATAGCTGATTTGGCAGAAAGCCTGTATGGAGTACCCCAAATGATGGACATCCCAGGAGAATGACCAAAATTACACTGTAGTACCAAGGAATCCACATAATGTTTTCAGGAGCACTGCTGTGTCAGCACACAAAACATTTGTCTTGATGTCTGTGTGTGGGACTAACCTTTTTGCAACACAAAGCAGAGGAACAGATCTCACCTGATCAAAGAGAAATGCGCTCTGCATGAATAAGGGGATAGGTGTAGCCTATATACTAAGCTGGCTGGCAGCTTGGTGGGACAGAGCAAAGTACTAGGAAGAAAGCATAATTATGCATCAGGATTTGTAAATATGGTCCTTACATGGCAAAAATGTGCCAACTGGCTGTCCTGCCATCAGCAAGACAGGAAAGTGACACACAATGAGATCTGTTGTCTCCTAAAGGCGTCACCCTTTAGCTACTGTGTGAAATTCAGGGCTTCTAGCCCACGGTCCCTTATTGAAGTGGCATTATGTGGAGCTGCATCTTCCCAGTAGAACATCTGTTTATCATATTAGAGGTCCCTGCTCCAGAATAGGGATAAAGGATCAGGATCAGTAGCTGGAAGCCTCCAAACAACTTTTAGAAGAGAACATTAAATAAAATGTTCACAAAATTACAGAGCTTTAAAAGGGAGTGGTAGGAAAGGCTGGAATGCGGCAAGCTCAGCCTTCCCCAACATGGTGCCTTCCAGATGTGTTATACTGGAACTCCCATCACCCTCAGCCAGCAGGCTAGTGTCCACAGTGGCTGGGGATGATGGAAGTTGTAGTCTGCTGAACCTGAAGGAGCCAAGTTGGGAAGGCTGAACACATGAAGAGTTTAATTTGTTGCATAATCTGTAAATCAACTCAAATAGTACAAAATTCCATTAGCTCCCAGTGACCTCATTCCAAAGGAAACCAGACGCAGGTAACTATCCTATGACTGCTCATGGGATGTGAGACAAGTATAAAGATACATTATCCAAGTGGAGAGATGGGAACCAATGCTGGCTCCAGGTTTGCAGGGGCTTTGTGCAAGACACCCTGAATGGGGACCCCTCCATTAGTGAGCCTACCTATCTCACATTAGCTTTTTCTATATTGGGCTTAATTGCTGTAGCTACTTCAACATTTGTGGAATCTTTGAGATCCAAGCTTTATGGAGTGTGCTTCCTTTCCTGCTTTTCCACTATGTAGCCTCTAGAGCAGGGGTCTCAAACTCGCGGCCCACAGGCCAATTGCCGGG